CGCCGCGCGGCCGGGAGGCTGCCGGCCGGCCACGCCCCCTTCGCGCGGCTCGCGCGCCCCGCCTCGCGGCCCCGCCCCTGGCGCACGCCCATTGGTTCGCGCGCTGTATCAACATTCCGAGGTGGACCGCGGCCGGGGCCAGCCGCGCTCCCATTGGCTTACGGTCTGAGGCCCGGCCCCCGAGCCGGCCACAGCCGCTCGGCCTGGGGAAAGGGCCTCGCTCGCGGCAGCGCGAGTGCCTGTCGGTCCCTCGGCTCTGCGGAGCCCGGGGTGCCCGTGCGCCCCCGCCGCCGGGGAGGGCCGGCTTACTCGCGGGTGTGCCTGCGCGCAGAGCTGCCAGATCCGGGGAAGGGGCCGCGTCTCCTTGGCGGGCTTCCCGGGAGCAGGTTATTCTTTAACGCACGACTGCCCACCTACCCCGTACCTTATGTAACACCGGGGGCTGGGCGGCGGAGCCCTCCCTTAGTGTTCAGGGTCCAAGTCCCACCCTGGGGCGGTCAGCTCGCGGGCCGGCTGCAACACGTGCTAAGACCGACTTGGCCTGGGGACCACCGCCCCTAGAGCTAGCCTCCCTTCCCCACACTGTCTTCTGAAACTGACCAGCCGCGCACAGCTTCAGGCGACAGGGCCCAGACACCCCAGGCAGGAGGGTCCTTTCAAGACAATCCCTGCCAACCTTCCCCGGCCTTCAAGAAAAGTAGTCTGTGAGGCACGGCTGTATCCATCCTCCCTGTGCTGGGGATTTATTAAGACCTTGGGAGGGAGAGGCCAAGAGGCCATGGCAGCCAGGACCCCCAGGGACCTCACAGGCTGGAAGCCTTGGGATCTGGACTTTGTGCGGCCAACTTCGGGGCGGGGATAGGGAATGGGGGCTGGGCACTACTCTGGAAGGAGGAACTCTGTACTTGGTTGTTCAACACAGATGGGGAGTTGGAGACCCCTCCCTAGGTTGAGGCTGGGGAAGCCTGCATAGGTGCACTCATGCTAACAGCTAGAGCAGGAGGGCTCCAGGTGCTGGGGGGAAGGGGCATGTCCTGGATACTCTCATACACATTTTCCAGGAGGCCATCATCCTTCCCCAGGTCCCTGAGTGGGAGGGTCTCGTAGGACTGGTCACTTCCCAGAGGCACAATTACTCCCCTGCCCTTGAGGTCCAACTGGTCTGTGGCAGGTCCTGGGTCCCTCTTTTTAGGCTTCCTGACTCTGGAGTACAGGATGTCCACCTGGGAGAGAGGAAGCCAACCCAAGGAGGGGTCAGCACCATATATCCCTTCAAGGACCTGTACAGCCCTACCCACCCTACCCCATCCACCCGTTTACCTGAACAGCTGGGTTCAGCTCGGCCTTCCCCTGCCCCAGGCTTTGGGGGCCCTGATCTGTTTCCTTGAGCTTCTGGATACAAGCATACTCAGCCACCTCAGGTCTGGCCTCAGGCCCAGGCCTGGTACAGCTGCTGGTTAGCTGTGCCCCTGCCCACACCACAGGGCTGACTGCCAGGCTGGCCCTGGGGATTGCAGCCAGCCCCACATTGGAGTAAGTGGCCTCGGGGCAGATGGAGGGTGAGGTGGCAACAGGCATTGCCTGGTGCAGTTCCCGGTGTGAGAAGGCTGCCATAAGCCTGCTGGTGCCTCTGGACACCTCCAGCCATTGTGGGTGCAGGATATCCATGCTGGCAGGCCGCAGAGCTAGGGGTCAAGACAGAGGTTACTGGGGCAGGGGGGCAGGGAACCGATGGGGGGGAGCGGCGGAGCTGCTCCAGGGTGCAAGCCCCGCCCACCCCCCTGGTCCCACCCCTCCCAGCTGGGCTCACCTCTGCAGCCGCCAGGGCCCTGGTGCAGCTCGTGCAGTCTGGTGTCCGACTTGCTGAGGGTGCAGAAGTGGTGTCGTCTCAGCAGTGACTGGGGGCAAGGAAGGCTGGTGGGTCCTGTGCTGGCCCCGCCCTGGCCCCCGGGACAGCCTGGCACTCACCGCTTCCGCTGGCATCACACCGCCCTGGGGCCTGGCCCGCTGCCTCTGCACCCGCTTCCTGGGGGCAAGAGTCTCATCAGGCCAGGGAGGCAGAGATAGGGGGCTGAGGTGCCAGGCTCTGGTGCAAGGCCCAGTAGGGAGGCTCACGCACAGAGCCAAACCTGCTTGGAGCTGTGCCCCACACCAAACCCAGGTGAGAGATGGACATACCTGTGGCAGGCCGTGCACAGTGTCCAAAGCCAGAGGGACAGGGCAAGGCACCCGAGGACCCAGAGGGCAGGAGGGGCTGAGGGCACCTGTGGCCCCATCCTGCGAAGCCGCAGGTAGGCCTGGGGGCAAGAAGACAGGGTGCTGGGGGCGGAGAGGCTGGGTACCTACCTGGCAGCCCCCCTGCTGCACCTCAAGCTGCTGGGCAGTCTCCTCCCCCTGGGGCGCTCTGACTCAGCACACAGGAAACCCCAGGCTCCACAGCCCCTCCTTCCTACAGAAGCATGGAGTCCAGGCCCTGGCAGCTCCCTTCCCACCTCTGAAGGGGGGCTCCCCGTGACATGGAAGGAGGTGTGCTCTGCTTGGCCCTACGAGTACCTGAGTGGGTGAGGGTGACCCAAACGGTAGCTGAGCATGGCCGGTGAGGAGGGGCAGGGGAGTTGTGAGCAGGCCAAGGGCCTGCTGTGGTCACCGTAGCCTAAACTTGGAACCCAGGGAGGTCCTAAGGTCACACCCTTGGCCCTCTGAGGCACAGGCCACTGTCTCAGGTGATGTCCCCCTAGCCATCCACTGCTAAGCTTTGTCCCCTGAGGGGCTGGAAAGGCAGGGGAGGGGTCAGCAGGCAGGGAGAGGTTGCTTTACCCTGACTGCCCCCACCCCACTTCTCCTTGGCTCTCTCCACCCCTCCCCTCCAACTGTCCCTGCCATCAGATCATGGTCTTCCTCCTGGGATCTTAGCAGAGCTGCTGGGGTAGGGTGTCTCTAGAGACGGGGGCCAGTCTGCCCAGACCCAGGGAGAGTGGGCTTAGCTCGTAAGAGGGTCTGGGATGGCTAACCTGGTCCTCCCAGACCCCAACCCTCAGCTGCTCCCAGGAGGGCACCAAGGGGTCTGGGGACCTGACCAGGGTGGAGGCCAGAGCAGGCACTTACCAAAGACCCGCGTGTGGTGGCCCCTCCTCAGCCCCGTGTGGAGCAGGCCCGGCGGCTTGGGCACCCTGCGAGGTGCCTCTGTACAGCCCTCAGCCGAGCTCCCCACCTCACTTCCTGCCTGTGCATCTCCCCACACAGCCACTCAACGCTCTGCAGCCATCGCTCCTGCTGCAGCCCCCGTGTGGGGTCTAGACATCACTTGGCGGGTGCATGTGGCACGCCAGCACTGCTCCCAGAGCCTAACTCACGTGGTCTGTGCTCTATGAGGTGGGCACGCGCCAGCGAAGAGACAGGCACAGCACGGGAACTGGACAGTCTCGTGGCCGCCAAATCCTGGGGCTGATCCCAGGCTCTCAGACTTCCAAACCCACCCCACCAGGTCCTCCTGCCTCATTCATGGTGCTTCCCAAGGATGCATCTGGCCACGACCTCCTCCCCCTGCTGCAGCATCAAGTCCCACACACTTGTGGGGGTCAGGCAACACGCGGGAGGGGCTGCTGGCAGAGCCCCACCCAAGAGAGCAAGGAGAATGCCAGCCTTTGGGCCCTCCACCTCTGGGCAGAGGGCAGCGGCCTCACTCAGGGCCCCTCCAGCCCGGCCCCATGGCCCTGTGCAGAGACCCCTCTGCCCCCAAAGACCCCACAAGCCAGCTGAGCCTTCACTGAAAGACACAACACGATCACTTTAATGTCTTTGCGAAGGAGACCCCCTAAGACACTGGCAGGTGGGTTCAACGGGCAAGTAAGTGTCCAGACGTGACCCCTGCAGCCCCATCTCCGTTCAGTAGTGTCCACAGGCCCTGGGCCAGGGAGAAGGCTGGCCATGGGGGCTAGTCTGGGAGCAGGGGGCCCCTCTTCAGTAGCATCTAGTTGTCGGGTGACAGCTCGTCTTCCAGAGGGCAGCCAGGAGCCGGGGGCCCTGAGCTCTGTCCGCTGCGCACACGGGAGCTCTAGAACTCAGTCATCTTCTTGTGGGTGTCCGCTTTCCTCTGCTCGCGCTGCAGGCCTGCCTCCTGGGCCTGGAGCTGCCCCAGCTCCCGCTGGGCTCCCATCAGCCTCTCCTGCAGCTGGGCTGCCGTCACACTGTGCCTAGACAGGAGCCTGCCGTTCAGCATGGGCTGCTGGGCCACCGGCACGAAGCCCCCACAGTGCTGTGGCCACTGCCCATCCTCCTCCAAGCATCAGACCCTCCTCAGACAGCCACCACCCTCGGGTCAGAGCAAGCTCCTGTGTGGGAACTGTGGGCTTGATGCCCACAGCAGGGCTGAAGGCACTGCCACCCTGGGGTATGCCCTCTGCCCTGGGTTCGGCCCCACACGTACCGGCCGGTGTTTCGGGCAAGGGCCTTCTGGATGCCCTGGATGTCCCGCTGGGTTTGCTCAATCTTCTTCTCAGTCTGGAAGAGCTGCAGGCTCAGGGCCCGCTTGGCACTCTTGCTGGCATGGTACATTTCCTTGCCACTCCTCCTCCCTGGGGGGGCCCCCCTAGCCTCCAGGGCCCCAGGGGCCCGGTACTGCAGCTTTTCGTTCAGAAAGTCAAACACACTACGAGGGGGAGGACGCCCACCCCCGCTCCCCCGGCTTCTCGGGGGCCTCCGGGTGCCAGGCTTGCTGCCCTTGGTCCTCTCCTGCAGGATCTCTGCGCACTGGTCCAGCGACTTCCCTCGAGGAAGCACCACAGCATGGATGGGCTCCACCCGGCCCTCTGCATGTCGGCCCAAACCTGAGGGCACACAGGACTAGTGCTGCTGCTGCTGGACCTGAGCGGGGCTGTGGTCGCCCCCTCCCCTCCCCAGGGCAGCACACACACACTCACCCTTGCCAAACTCGTAGCCCATCTTGGCCAGGAGTCTGGAGCCAATGCCCCGTGTGTGCACCTCCCAGCCAGCAAAAGCGGAGCTGCAGGTCCCGTGGTCAGCAGCACCAGGTTCCACCACTGTAGGAAACAGGGCAGTGGCTCGGCCCCACTGGACATGGAGCACCCTGGGCTCCAGCCCATGTTAGCCCAAGAGCTCAGCTCTGGCCCAGGGCTGTGATGCCCGGCACCTCCATCGACTGCTCAGACCTGTTGTCGGCACATGACTCTAAGGCCGAGCCCTGGCAGAGTGGGGCAGGGTCTGCTGCAGCCCTCCCCACACCTCAGTGCCACCCCCGCAGGTCACAGGGCAGCCCCTCCCCCCGGAGCCCTCCCCTGACCCACCTTCTCAGGCAGTGAGCTCCCCTCCTCCCCTGGTAGAAAGTCACCGCCGACTTCATGGCTCAGTCCTCCCCGCCGCCCCCGTGGACACGGGAGTTCAGAAACTACCAACTCACAGAACAGATTCCACAGGAATACCTCCCCTGTACATCCTAACTGACCCATCGGGAGGGCCGGACACCTCCAGCTATTCCTGAAACCCTCCTGTCCCTGCCTGTCCGGACCCAGCCTCCCCTCTCTCCACCAGACACCTGGCCCATGGGGAGACCACTGGAAGGGGCTGCTCCTGCCTGCACGCCACGCCCACCGGCCCTGTCTTACACGCCGACTGGTGTGTCGGCCCTGCCTCGGCACACACGCTTCGGTATGCGGGGGTGTGGAGTTGTAACCCTCACATGTGCTCCCTGAAGACAAGGGCCAGGTCTCTGCCTCTGTGGGTCTCAGGAACTTCCCCCCCCCCCCCCCCCCCCCCCCCCTCTCATTTCCCCCACCTCCTCAGGCATGAGCGCCCCCTCTGCTGAGCACAGCCCACCTCCCTGCAGTCACACTGTCCAACTGTCTGTTTCGACGGTCACAGGCCCCACCAGCCGGGAGCCTTGCAGGCCGACTGCTGCACTAGGGCTTCTGGGACCCTGACCTACTGCCGTACCTCTGGCGTAGCTGGGGTCATCTGCGTCGCTGCTGTCGGAGTCCGAGGACCCTGCGGGGTCCGTGCGCAGTGGGGGCAGGATGCCGTCCCCCTCCACCACAGCCTCCTTCAGCAGCAGTGAGTCAAACCTGACTGTGTAGTAGCCGTTATCAACATCTGGAGGCAGGGAACAAAGACAGGCCAGGTCAGTGGCCTCAACAGGTGGTAGGAACCACACTGAGTGTTGGAAGGAAGGTGGGACTGAGGTTGAGGGTGGCCTCGCTCCACTTGGGTATGGAACGGGGCTCTTCAGTAAGAGCTCTGTCTGAGAGGCCTGTGGGCAGCCTCACCGGTTATCCGAGCTGGGTACCAGAGGCCATCCTGCTGCTTGGCCAGACATGCAGAGCCGGCCCGGAGGGAGCTCAGGTCTGGGTCCTGGAAGGGGCGCAGCTCGTCCACAGAGACCACCTGCCCATGGGAGAACCTGCCAAGACAACCACAGGGGACAGGGGCTCAGACACAGTGCACTAGGGGCAAGTGAACCCAGGAGAACCAAGTCCACCTGCCTGGGCACTGCCATGAAGGGAGGGAGAGACGGGAGACAAACGGACACACGCGCGTGTGCACGTGTGTACACACACATACCCCTGCACACAAACACAGGCAGGTATACGCACAGACACACACTCTCGCCTTTGCAGGATGGATCTGGCCATGCTGAGGACAAGATGCTTTGCACGACTCTCCAGCTTTCTGGGCTAGAGTAACGATGTGGTGGGCAGACACCCGTGTGACTAAAGCTCCCCATCGCCTCTCCACCAGACAGGAGGCCCCAACACTAACAGATAATCAAGGCAGGTGTGTTTGTGTGTGTGCGCTCACAGGACTGAGTCCTTCCCAAACCAAGTGGGAGAACGCAGTTGGAACAGTGATGTCCTGACCTTTAGATTTCAGTGAACCAGTGAGATTAAAACCAAAACTGAGAGAGGGAGGAGAGGGGGGAAGAAGGAGGCGAAGAAAGAGGAAGAAATGTGGGCACAAAGGACTCAAGCTTCAACTCTGCCAAATAAAGGCATGAAAGACTAACCACATATCCACTGTACTGTGCCAGCATTTCAAAGAGGAAACTGTTTTAACCCTGCAAGAGCAATCAAGGACTTGTATTCACCCTGCGACGCAGAGACAGTGCAGCCGCGGCAAGTCCTTCCAGGCAGAAATCGGTGGTGGCACAGGGGATGGAAAGGGTGGGGTTCCACCCTCTCACGGGTGGACAAAGATGGCCTCAGACACCTCCCCTGGCAAGATTCTGGGCAGTTCCTTCCGCCTGACTGTCCTCAGGCCCACAGGACGATGCCAATGACTGAGCAGCACCAGCATCTGCAAGACTAGGCCCCAAACGCACTGCAGTGGTGACTCTGCTTGAAGATCCTCGTTCAACCAAGGAGCAACACAATGTGTTCAAAAGGGGAGGCCAACAGCCAGGACTGAGCTCAGCCAAATACCCACTCCCACACTCCCACAGACGCGTGCCTCCACAGACGCGCGTGCCCACTGACACCCATATCCCCCAGACGGGCCTGCCCCCCAGATGCCCCCCCAGACATGCACCCCACAGACACACGTGCCCCTGGACACACATATCCCCCTCACGCCTGCCCCCACGGACACGTGCGCCCACACACATCCGCAGATATGCACCCCACAGACACGCGCATCCCCAGACACACATATCCCCAGACACGCATGCTCACACAAGCCCCCACAGACACACCCCACAGACAAGCGCACCCCAGAAACATGTGCCCCAGACACATGCCCCCCATGCCCCAAGAGACACACACACACACCCCAGACACGCCCATGCACCCTCAGACACATGCACACCCCCCCAAGACACCACCAATTAAAATTTCTCTGCAGGAATCTTCAGTGATAATAGAAGCCTGAAAATTTGGTATACTCCTTAACCTGGGAAAGCACGTCTAAGAAATGATTCTAGAAAAATAATAACGAAAGTACGCAAAGATTCGGCTCAAAGGATGTTAACCAAATACCAAAAGACTTGGAAATAACCTAAGTTTCCAACCATGGGGTGTAGTTAATGGCATATCCATAAAATGAATTTATTTATTTATTTATTTATTTAAAGATTGTATTTGTTAGAGAGAGCGAGCGTGGAGAGAGAGAGTGAGCAAGGGTACAAGCAGGGGGAGCTGCAGGCAGAGGGAGAAGCAGACTCCCCACTGAGCAGGGAGCTCGATGCGGGACTCGATCCCAGGGCACTGGGATCATGACCTGAGCCGAAGGCAGACGCTTAACGACTGAGCCACCCAGGCGCCCCTATAAAATGAATTTAAAACTAAGACAATGAGCAAATTGATCAATGGAATGAAAAGGAGCACCCAGGAAGAGCACCGTGCACACAAAAAACTTCCCATGTGACTGAGAAAATACTACACTCAAGTGAGGAAAGGACACACTACTGGTTTCATAAGGAAAAGATCAGAAACTGGTTTCCTGTGTTAAAAACCCCAACTCAATTACCTACCTCACAACATTCATGGAAATGCATTCCAGAATAAACAAATCTTGAACCTGAAAACAAGTATTTAGAACCATAAAGAAGATTCTGAGTTCCAGCTGTGGCCAAGTATAGAAAAACAAGGCTAAAACTGAGCAAAGTGGCCCAAACTCACAGCTTCAGAACTCTGGAAATGAAACGAAACAGACAACACACTGGTTAGTCATTATTTTTGAAAAGGTGCCCAACTTGGGGACAGAACGGGAGGTGGGAATGTCTGCAGCCTTCACAGTGGGGGAAGCTTCCTGCTTGCCCTTGGGGTGGGGGGGAGTATGGCAGGGGTGAGACCCAGGGCTATGGTGGCTTGTGGGCCCAGCTGGAGTGGGCCCTGCTGTTTACAGGGGGTGTTTAGCAAATACCTAACTGGTACTTCAGGACCAGAAAATTAAACAACCATGTAAGAGCTCCACCCTCCAAACACCCCTGCTTCTCCAGGAAACATTGTGCATGCATCCGGAGCTCCAAGAGATGCCAGGGTCAAGTGAAAGTCAAGAGAGATGGGGGGCTGGCTGAACTTGGAATGTGCCCCCCAGCCCACAAAGACTGATTGACCGATGGGGGAGAAGCCTTGTGGGGGAAGCCTTTTGGGAAAGAGTGTTTGAGAATAACCTCTGCTTAAATCATTGGCTGGCTGCTAAGCCACACAGACACAGAAGTGACTCCTGAAAAGCCAGGCTAAAAAGTAAATATAAATTTAAAGATGTGAGTAGAGATACCAGAAACCGCTATGAGGGGACAGACTTCATAATTTACATCCGGAAAACATACCAAGATAAAACGAAATACTGAGGAAAATGATTCAAAGTCCAGAGTTGCTACAAGATATTATCTGAAATGTAGTTTTCAATAAAATTTAGGAGACAGGCAAACAGTAAAGTGTGACCCATACTTAGGAAAAAAAGCAGTTGATAGAATCTGAGTGGGCCCAAATGTTGAATCTTGCAAAGACCTCAAAGCAGATAGTCTAAGTATGTTCAAAGAACTAAATGAAAACATAGTGACAATGATTTAGGAAATAGTGAATCTTAAAACATACATAGAAAATATATAAAAGGAATAAAGTGGAAATTCCAGAGTTGAAGTCAGTAACTGAAACGAACAACTCACTAGATGGAACATTTCTGGTTTCCAGTCTTGTGTGTAAAAAGCTGGGAAGTTGCCCCTTTGTTCTAACCACAGGTAAAAAGCTGAAAATGAAAAAAATCACTAACTCTTCTTAGATCCATAAGAGAAGAAAGGTCACAGGGCAAACTGCTATGCCAAATTTGGAGAGACCAATAGGCAGATATTGGGAATCACAACTTACCAGCACAGTAAGCCCCCGGCAGGAACCACTGCAGGATCCAGGGCTAGAAGGGCGACCCTGACTGTGACTGAGGGCTGCTTGGTGGCTCGGTATGGACAAGTCTGGGGGCTCTCACACTTTTTCTTTTAAGGTTTTATTTCTTTGAGTGTCATCCTTGCGCAGGGGCCATGATAATCTTCTCTGTAGTGTTCCAATTTTAGAATATGTGCTGCTGAAGCGAGCACAAGGTTTTATTTCTTTGAGAGAGAGACAGAGAGGGAAAGAGAGAGAGCACAAGCAGGGGGAGGAGCAGAGGGAGAAGCAGACTCCCCGCTGAACCCGATCCCATGACCCTGAGATCATGACCTGAGCCGAAGGCAGATGCCTCACCGACTGAGCCACCCAGGCGCCCCAGGGCCCTCACACTTCTGTGAGTTTTAGTCCAGAAGCTCTACCAGGTTCTCAAAGTGAATACTGCAGAGGGAGGGGGAAAGGAACCATCTTGAAATACCTCAGAGCACTCTACTCTGCTCTTCTTAACAAGGCCTGTCCTCAGGGGAAGCTGTTTAACTGGAGCCTAATCTGAGGGGAGTTTTATCAGAACCTAGTTGAACTGGGGGTTAGAGAAACACCCAAATCCAGCCCAGTCCAGCCATCCTGTGCCATCTAAGTGGGGCGTGCGCATGACTGAGAAGTCCACGTGCAGTTCATAATCCGGGGGCAGAGGTTCACTAAAAGCCTGCGATCTCATCGGGGGGCTGCAGAATGCTTCCTGTCTCACATCTTACCACCACGTTACTAAAGGCCCATTTACAGGTACAGTTCCTTTAACCCAAAAACAAAGAAAATCCTGAAAGCAGCAAAAGAGAAGGCCCTCTTCATGCACAAGTGTTCCTCAATAAGGTTAACTGCCTTCTCATCAGAAGCTATGGGGGCCAGAAGGCAGTGGGATGACATATTTAAAGTCCTGAAAGGAAAAAACAAACCCTGTCAACCAAGAATTCTTTATCTGCCAAAACTGTCCTTTGAAAGAGAAATGAAGACATTCCCATATAAACAAAAGCAGAGGGAATTCATTGCTCACATACCTGCCCTACAAGGAATGCTAAAGCGAGTCCTTCAGACTGAAACAAAGGACACCCACCAGACCATAACTCAAGCCCTATGAACACTGATAAAGACAACTATATAGGTAAATATAAAAGCCAGTATTATTATTCCTTTTTGGGGGGAGGGTTTGCAACTCATCTTTTTTCCTCTGTGTGATTTAAAAGACAATTGCATGACACAATACTCATAAATCTGTATTTCTGGCCACACGAGTACAAAGATGTAATTTGTAACAGTAAGAACATGGGGGGGGGTGGACTGTATGGTAGAGTTTCAGCTAAGCTGACGTTATTCAAACTAGATTGTTATATTAATTATAATCCAGAGAATGTCACTGAAGAAAATAACATAAAAATATGTCCAAAAAAATCAAAGGGAATCAAAGTGATAGAGTGAAAAAAACAAACACCAAAGAAAGCAATAATGAAACTGAGAAGCAAATGACATAAGGCCTACAGAAAACAAATAATGGGGCACCTGGCTGGCTCAGTTGTGGAGCGTGTGACTCTTGATCTTATGAGTTCGAGCCCCACATTGGGTGTAGAAATTAGTTAAAAATAAAATCCGGGGCGCCTGGGTGGCTCAGTTGTTAAGCGTCTGGCTTCGGCTCAGGTCATGATCCCGAGGTCCTGGGATCGAGCCCCGCATCGGGCTCCCTGCTCAGCGGGAAGCCTGCTTCTCCCTCTCCCACTCCCCCTGCCCGTGTCCCTGCTCTTGCTGTGTCTCTCTGTGGAATAAATAAGTAAAATCTAAAATAAAAAAATAAAAAAAATAAATCTTAAAAAAAAGGAAAAAGAAAAAACAAATAATAAGATAACTGAGATCAGTCTTTATCAGTAACTACTTTAAATGTAAGCGGAGTACATAAAGACCAATTAAAAGACAACTGGAAGGATGGATAAAAAGAATGACCAAATTCTATGCTATCTATAAGAGACTCATTTTGGAGCCCAAAGACAACAATATGTTAAAAGTTACTATGTACGTCTTTCATACAAATGTTGTAACATGAACTTTCGTTGGGGATACCTGTATAGAAAATCAGAATCTCAACAGACTGAAATTTGTCAAAATGAAATTTGTCAAATATATTGAAATCCATGAGTATATAAGGATATTAGAAATGTTTTTTTAAAGCTAATTTATTACCTTCTCAGAATGAAAGAGAACCAATTCATTATCTTGGAAACGGAAGTAAAGAAAACAGAAAAATCCAGCATTTATCCTGCATTTTTATATGAACTGTTCCTCTGGGTAGCCAAATCACAGATGGGGGAAAGCATCTCTTTATGGCTAGTAAATGAAGATGAACAGACAGAAAGATCTCTACTTTGCAGTTCCCACTGAATCAGTGCATTAGGCTCTGATCACCGACGGCATCCATGGCTGCTACCATCACAACAGAAAAACTAGACACCAAGAATGTCTTGATGAAAGAACAGCACCTAGAGTCTTGCCAAAGAGGGTGAACCTGAATGTGGTCAGCTCCCTCGATCCAGCTGCCAGCTTGCAGAGGAACGTGCTGGACCAGTGGTGTTCAACCATGGGCCAAAGGGCCCAGTCCTTTAGCAAACTGTGAGGCCAGGAGAGGCAGGAAGAAGGGTGTGGACAGCCAGATTCGGACACAGAAGCTTTAGTGAACAAGATTATGCTACAGTGTTCATACCACAGTTACACTTAAGTGACAAGCTGGAACAAACACAAGGAGGAGACCAGAATAAAGGTCTGGAATAGTGGCCGTTTTTGGAGGTGGGAGCAGACTGCATTTGGTTTGAGGTGCATGGAGATGCTTCGGGGGTGGTTGGCAAATTTGCAGTGGGGAGCTCAGTGGTGACTGCTGGGAGGTTACAGTAATCCCTATACTATGTCCTCACTTCCCACATCTGATTTTATCCTACGGCAAGATAAAAAGTTAACATCTACTGTGAGCTTACAACACGTAACGTACTGTTCTAAATTCTTTGCACATATTAATGCATTCCATTCTCCCAAAAACTACGAAAAACAATTCTCGTTTCTGTTTACAGATAAAGAGATTAAAATACAGAAATTAAGTTATAACAAACGTACGAAAAAATGCTACATCTCACGAGGATTCAAGGAAATACAAATTCAATCACGATACCATTTTCCCAGCTTTCAGTAGGCAGGAATCTGCAAGTCGGATAATATTACCACAGGCAATTATAGAAAGAACTAGGGACTAGGGACCATACTTCATAGGGAAATGGAAATTCTACATACACTCTCTACGTGGGAAATTCCCGGCAGGTACATAAGAAGACATGTACTAAGATGTTCACAGTAAATTGTTTGTAAAAAAAAAAAATGAAAACATCAGAAAGGAACAGAATAAATAAAATGTAGCATATTCATGAAGGAAAAAACACAGCAGTTAAAATGAACTAAAGAGCTCTGTAGATAACATGGATGTCTCTCACAAACACATGCAGTGAAAAAAGCAAGCTGCAAAATGAACCACACTGTATGATACCACTTGTTTTGAAAATAACACAAATATGTATTCTTTGTATACACACTGTCTGTGAAGAGCTAACGTTTGCTAGAGGGAAACTGAGTTGTGATCATAGCCTCCCAGGATGGGGAGGGGCTGTGACAGAGTGGGGAGTCGAGGGCATTTCAACATTACCTATTTTGTTTTATTTTTAAAAAGGTAAAGCAGGGGTGCCGGACTGGCTCAGTCAGTTGGGCATCTGAGTCTTGGTTTCAGTTCAGGTCATGGTCTCAGGGTCAGGCTCCGTGCTCAGCAGGGAGTCTGCTTGACACACTCTCTACCTCTCCTTCTGCCCCTCCCCACCCCACACATGCACATTCTCTCTCACAAATAAATAAATCTTTAAAAAACTAAATAAAATAAAAATGCAAAGCAAATGCCAGATAATGGCTCATCAGTCCGGCGGTGGCGAGTGGGTGTTGTAGGCTGCAGCAGTTGGGCCTAAAGCTAACAGAGCACGCAGCATGGGAAGGCACAGCAGTTGGGGGCCATCTCAGAGCTGGCCTGACCCTGGTGCAGGCTCACATGCCGCCCCTCTGAGCCAGACAACCTCAGCCATAGGTGGGCCTACCTCTCGGAGTTGCGGCACAGATGAGTTAATACGTGTCAAACTCCAGGAGCAGTGCCTGGCCCAGAGAAAGCGGCCCAGGGATGTGTCACCCAGGGGCAGGGAGGTACCCCAGAGGGGCTAATGGCAGAAAAGACGAGAGAGGTTACTGCTTTGTTCCTTGACCAAATTGTTCACCAACACGTGGATAGGTCCGCTTTGTGAAAACTCATCCAGTACATTTATGATGTATGCACTTTCTGTACGAACGGGACACTTCAATAAAACAGGAAAAGAAAGAAGTACGGAAAAATGTGTCAAACAACACTCTGGACCCAGCAAGAGTCTGTAAAGAAAGACGATGACCAAAGAACTAGAAACAGTTTCACTAGAATACTGACAAAAAAGGTAAATGAACTACCAGACGTTTCAGTAAATATTCCTTCCAAAGAGGAAATAAAAAGGAGTAAGAGCAAAGTTATGCACTTACAGAAAAAAAAACACATTGTTGCAACAATTGTGGAAATCTCAATTTGAACAAAACGTTACTGTTACATTGGTTAGGGGTGTGTTCTTAAGTATTTATGGACCAAAAAAACCCAGTAATTTCTAGAATTTGCTTTAAAATAGTCCAGGGAAACAAAAGTAAGAGAGGAGTCAAACGGAGCCTGGCAAGGGCTGGTCCACAATAAAGCCGGGTATCGGGGTGTAGGCAGGACGCTGCACTCTCCGGCTCCGTGACAAAGTCTATTTACAAGTTCTACCCTAAAAAATGAAACTAGTGATGGGTGGGGGGGCCATCCTTTGACTCGAGAAAATCCAGGGATCATTCAACCGAGGACAGCGCTGCGAGGATCCACCAGCCAGCCCCACGGCGACCCCGAGCCTGCCGGCGAGTCCTCGCGCCCCCGCACGGCCCCGGGGAGTTACCTGCAGTTCTCCTGGAAGCGGCACTTCCCCTCCAGGAAGAACGGGCAGGGCTTCAAGGACTTGTGCGTGGGGTAGAGGTACAGCACCCGCACGCCCGTGGAGCCATCGTCGGCCTCTTCCGTGCCCACGATCATCGCGTTGTGGTACTCCAACGTGCCCCAGGAGCTGTAGTAGGGCGCGTTCACCTTCCTCCCGCTCCACTCCTCCTCCTCCTGCCCGGGCCCGCTGGGGTCTGGCTTTGCCTCTCGTTCAGGAGCGGCCTCCAGCTCTGCCCCGGCGGCTGCAGGCACCTCCACCCCTTCAGCAACGGCCTTCTGGAGAGCCAGGTACTCAGCCTCGTCCTGGGCCGAGGGCTCTCCATCCAGCGCGGCCAGCAGCTTGCTCTTCCTGACGGACACCAGGCTGGCCTCGGTGAGCTCGATGAGCTCCTTCAGGTCCCCCTGCAGCTGGCGCAGGTCCGCCAGCTCGGAGGGATCCAGGCCGGCACCCAGCGCCAGCTCCACCTGCTGCAGCTGGGCGTCGTAGGTCTGCAGGGCGGCCTGCAGGCTCTCCTCGTCCATCCTGCAAGGACGGAAGGCCGGGGCGGGTCCCCGGGGGCTCAGCGGGAGGCGCGGGAGCCAGAGCTGCGAGGAGGAGAAGCGTCTGAGCCCCGGACTGGCCGCGCCCGCAGCGGCGCTCAGCGGCCCTCACAACCGCCTGCGGGGCCGACGCGGGGCTCCCTCCCGTTTTAGGGACGAGAAAAGGGGCTGGGGAGCTTCTCGGACCCGGCCGCTGGCCCCACAGCCGCGGCTCCCTGCCCTCCGCGCCCGGCGCCCCCCGCCCCGCGGCCCCACCCCCTCCGGCTCCGCTCCGGCCGCGCGGCCTCTCCGCCCCCGGCCCGTCTCCGCTCGACCTGTCACCTCGGGCCCCGGCCCCGTCGCCCCAGGTCGCGCCCCCTCGCCCGGGTCGGGCCCCTCCTCCGAGCGGGCTCCCGGCTGCCGCCATAGAGACCCCGCCGGCCTCACCGGCTAGAGCGGCCGGCGCCCCCGCTTCCGCCCTCG